TTCTGCGGTAGAAGTTGGCAAAAGTAGTCACAGATGACCAGTCTGCCGTTTTTATGATGTCTTGAGTAGTCACCCCTGCATTTGTAGCTACTGCTGAGGTGGGTGCACTCCTGGTTGAATGGGCCTTGAAACATGAAGTATCAATGCCTGCCTCATTGAGAACAGATTTCAGCCATCTAGCCACCGTGTATGGGACTACTGGATGGTAAGGCTTAGAGTATGATAACAAGAGCTGAGTCATGCCAGCGTTTCCCATTCTGTCTAACATGAGAAGTCCTGTCAAGGTATTCCCTCAGAATGCGCACAGGGCAGAGGTTTCTGTTGTCTCCGAAACGGACAATCTTAATGTCGTGGAAGGATTTGTTGACTGAAACGACGTTTTATTTATTTATTTATTCTGATATCCAACAGCGGAGACCCGCCACTTACAGGTATCATGGAAAACAAAACAACAAACAACTAATAATAAAAACTGACTTACGAGAAAAAAAGGAACAAATCTAAATTACTTGTAAAATATTTGTATAAACATAAACTTGAGTAAATGCATACATTTAAGTTAAGTCAATTCAGTGTAAAACTGGCTGAACCTGTGGCAGTTTAGATGTACACAGTTGAGTTATGAGTGCGAAGAACTTCTCTAAATCTCTGTACGGAACGAATTCAATGTAAGCGCCCCAAACACATCGCACATTTCGTGGAGTCGGTTGTAGGCAGTTGAAATCCTTGAAACAAATTTAAGCCTTGCTTCGTTATCTCCACCCGGCTTTGCGGAACATGCATGATGTGTTTGGTAGCAGATCTGGTTCGGCATTCCGGAACATGGAGGGAAAATGGGTTAACGGTAGTTAAATTGTAATGGTTATGGATATGTTTCTAGAGGAATAAGCAATCATTGACTGTTCTTCTCTGGACAAGAGTTGGCAAATTAAACAAGTCACACAGTTCAGGAAAGATACAATACAACGATCATTGTGTAGGACCTATACATAAACATTAAATAACGCTGTTGCAGTCTTTTCAGTCGCTCAGATTGCGAGTGAGAAATAAAATTAAATACTACTGTGCAATAGTCCACTTGGGGTCTGATGAGGGAGCAGTACAGTGTACGAAGTACATGTTCACTTTTACAATGTCGGAAGTTTCGCCACACCAAGCTAATAATGGATTCGCCTTCCTTACAATAAAATCAACATGAGATACAAAATTTAACCTGTTGTCTATAAAAATTCCAAGATCTCGCTGAATAGAAACATAACGATACATGACAGGTTTCCTTTTTAATGTGACGCTCATTACAGAACACTTCTGGAGGTTAAGATTTAATTTCCACGTTGAACACCGTGCACCTAATCTTGTTAAATCATCTTGTAAAGAGACACAATCATAATCATTAAAAACCTGACGAAAAATTTTCATATCATCTGCTAACAGTAGTGACCTGTTCGTAAGACTTGATGGTAGGTCATTAATAAACAAGGTGAATAACAATGGACCTGACACTGAGCCCTGAGGGACACCTGCAGGGACTGGATACCAGCTGGAACATTCACTTTCAACAACCACTCGATGTTTCCTATCAGTTAAATAGCTACGTAACAGGTTAAATAACTGAGGATGAACATGATAAGATGCCAGTTTGTGAAGTAAAAGATGGTGGTTGACCCGATCAAACGCTTTGGAGAAATCAGTGTAGACCACATCCAACTGGCCATCCCGATCAACAGCAGAATAAGCTTCCTGTAATAAGGTACATGTAGTAAGATTAGTGGTGCAATCCCTACCAGGTACGAATCCATGCTGCTGATCAGAGATAGCGGGCTGGACATGATCTACAGCTGAGCACATAAAATTCTTTCAAACACATTGCAAACAAGTGGTAATAAAGACACTGGTCGGTAATTAGCTACATTTTTCTTGGTACTAGACTTATGTAAGGGCACAACATTAGCAGCTTTCCAGCTACCTGGAAAAATTCCTTCATTGACTGATCTTTGAAAAAGGTAGAGGGTTTTACGAGCCAGAAAACATAACTTCCATTATAAGACCTAGACATATGATTTATACAATAGCTGTGAGTGACGAACAGCGACTAGCCTAATAAGTGCAATTAGCATGACCAATTTGTGAGATAGCTGTCGGATCGATAACCGACGATTGTCAGGTAAAGTCTTGAAATAATTCAACACAGTTACTACATTCCATGTGAAATTGTAGCGTGGATGCGGAGGACGCAAATTTAAGACCCTTTAAGAAACGCTTAACTAGATGATGTTGCCCAACTGGGGCTCTGTCTACAAAAACGTGCTGAGGAAATCGCCGATCTATACACATTGAAAGTTCTGTAATGCAACCGTAAATCTAATAAATGTTGAAGAAAGCATAAACATACCGCTACAGGGGCTCGAACATGATCAGTTTGTCTCTAGCTCCGAAGACACCAGCAGGCCCATCGATTCCAAGCTGAATCAAATTGTTTTTTGGACTGCTTTTTTGAACAACCACCTCCAAAAGTCTGAGATACCAGGTCTTTGTGCGCCAGACTGGGGCCAATGAGTAGAATCGTGGCCTTCTCCTCGCCTGGGTAGAAGAGCAAAGGGGGGGGGGGAGGCGTAACCCTTTATCTTCTTCCAGTTCAGGAACAGAGCATCTATTCTCCAAGCCATGGGGTCGGGCTGCCATGATACGAAGGTCTCGAGTTAGGTATTCAGTCGAGTTGCAAACAGGTCAACTTCTGGGGAAAAACTTAGTTTGCTGAGAATTTTGTGAAATATTAGTGTGTTTAGTTCCCATCCTGCTTGGTCGTTGAAAACACGGGATAGATCGTCGTTTGTGATATTCATGGAGCCTGGTAAGTGGTCTGCCGTCAGAATGATATCCTTCTGGAGACACCACACCCAAATCTCGAGTGCCAGTTGAACAAGATGCATTGAGCGCGTTCCACCCTTGTGGTTCATTTAAGAGATGGCCGTGGAATTGTCCAAATGAAGTCGCACATGCAAATCTTGATGATCCCTTAACAGCGTTCTGAGCTCATGGAAGACCGCCAACAGCTCGTGATAATTGATGTGGTTGGTCTTTTCTTGAAGTGTCTAGAACCCCCGACTAGTTGATGGTCGAGGCAGGCTTCCCAACCTTTCAATGGTGCAACTGTCTGAATGGTCAGATCTGGAGTCTTCTGAACGATCGCCCAGCCGTTCCATGCTTCTAGGAATTGCGTCCATGCACGTAGTTCGTCTTTTGCCTCCTCTGACAGGGAGACTTCCGTCTCGTAGTTGTAGTGTTCCCGCAGGACGCTATCTTGTCTATCTGAAGTTGTTGGTAGAACAATGGGGCCGGAAACACTGCCTGTACGGTCGCTGACATCTTCCCGATCTTCCCAATGGCGAGATCGCGGACTTAAGCCAGACTTCTGAATCACCTCCTCAGAAATGGGGTTAACCCTGTCCTTTTTGTGAGGATTGCTTAGTATCTCTCTCGCAGCTGGAAGGGAAATTGCTGCACTCCCAGCACCAGAAGTTTCTGAGTTCTCCTCGATGTCGCTGACAAGTGAAACAGCGGAGTCGGTGCGAGCCATGCCAGTGCTGGTGGTTGATTATTGCACCGGTAGACCAGTTATGGTGGGTAAAGTTGTCTGGGTAGTACCTGACAATCGCACCACTACGGAGGAAAACCCCATGGGTTGTACAGGCTTGGCGGTACCGGTCCCAGGTTTGTAGCCGTGGGCAACTGAGAAGTACCCCAGGGGCTCAAGTTCCAAGGCATGGCCAGGCTGATGCATAACCAGCCGGGTTCGCTGCAGGGCCCTATAGGAGTTTCCGGTGCTGCTAGGCGGTGCGGATGGTATAGGTTCCGATCCAGCTTGAGTAGCAACAGCGGCTTTTTGATGAGGTGGTGCTGGTTGGGATATGTCGCTAGATGAATTCGACTTCGGACCTGGAATGGAGCCTGCATTAGGTTTCGGGCATGACGACCCTCCACCTGAATTGCTATCAGCCCATAATGAAGCTGAGGCGTGGCGGTCAGTCATGGGCTTCGGGCATGACGACCCTTCACCCTGACCGCTAGGAACAAATATACAGGGTGAGTCTCTCCAGAATTGGCGAAATATAATCATCTGTTATATGAAATTTACCTCGGGGTTTCTGCATGTGGTCACATTCATCATTCTCTTTATGGTAACACGACATGATTATAAACTGGCACTGTAAGACATTATAGATTTTTTTCAAGAAGCTTGATTTTATTTCAGGGGACTCTAGTCTTATTAACTTTCACTTAAGTTGAGTCTTTTGATAAGGGACTCGAGTCGAGTCGCTAAAGCCCCCCCCCCATCGGCTGAAAAGAGTCATGTTGGTCAAGATTGTTCATTTCGCTGGTACCGACGCGACCGTAACGCATGCATTTCCTTAATAGTTCGTGAAAGTTCAGTTCCGACCAAAGGGCTGAGCTCGGGCGGCTTGTTCTCGTATGTTCACGAACAGTTCGATTTTTTGTTCGTGAGTCGGCTGCTCGAACGCCAGACATATACTATCGGTTGTTGCTGGCAATTAGTGGCAAGCGACTTGCAACAGGCGGCGTCCATGTACGTTATCCGAGAGTTAATGTTTGGATAACTTGGTGAACATTCATTTCTGTGTAATGAAAAGTAATTTATGTTAATTTTGAAACACTTCCCATTGTCTCTGGCTTTGTAAGTCATCTCTCCACTTTTTGCAGCTGTTAAAAAATCAAAATCTCACGAGTTTTTCCGTGTGTTCCTGTAAAACCCTGACGAGGAGGTGGTGTGTGATACTGTTCCGAGAACAGTGTTCTGGAGTCGTGTTCCTGCCGTTCGACCGTGTGATCAAGAAACCCGTGTCAAAAAAAGACCGCTCGAAGGAGTCTCCGTTGCAGTAAAAATGGCGCCCTTTCTTGGTCCAGGTCGGGGCCCATCGCGCAGTTTATAATACGAACACCACATTACTCAAATTCCAGTATTTAGTGATAAAAACCACTAACACAGAAAGGAAAGTTGTCAGTAACTCTTCTGGTTTATTCCTAAACTTGAACAACAATTAACCATTTAACAAGGACGTGAAACTGAAAACTAGCATTCCACAAGTTTTTGTGCACGTGTCAATGCAACACTGAGGCTAGTCCTCCACTGAATACCACCACCGTGAGGATTGCTCATTAATTTCGAAATTCGAAGTTACATAAAACCTTAAAGGCACGAAAATACCTTTTAAATAGAAATAAACAAAACTGATCAGAAGGTTAATTGAAAGACAAAGGTACATTTTCAGGTATTGCCAAACAGATTGCCTAAGACAAACCCTTCAATGACAGTACCGGGAATGCCCATTTGAAAGAGAGGACCGCATCAACATCTCATTGATGGTCATATAGAGCGTAAAAGTAAATGGTCAGCAAGCTTCCGGAACCCTCGCGGGGTACGCCTATGGGGATTATACATGGGCTGTCCAATCACATGCCATAATTTTTGGAAGAATAGTTTCTAACTAAAACCACCCCAAGAAACACTCATGTCGGAATTTTCCCTTTGTCCTCCTAAAGTAATATTTAGGACAAGTCACCTGGGGACGGGTTAAAAACGAATTTCATTATTGCAACCTGTCGCAATTTCCTACTCTCCTTGTTCATGCACATTTATTTTCATTACCCGTGCTTAAGTGGAGATTAGATTGTACAACGTTGCAAAGATTTACCAGTCTATGGGTTTCAGATTCCGTTGAGTTGAGGTGACGCAGCTCTTGTCAACAAAGGTTACATTATAGGCCTACATTAGAATCTTTCGTAAGAGCAAGTTATTGTTTTAAGTTTATTTCCTTATAAATTTCAAAATCCTCAACGATATTTTGGTCTATTTTTATTTTGGCTTTTACCGAAAGACTATCATAAACTATAATTCTGTAATTGTTCATCTGCGTGCGAGACCGCCGAATTGCACTGATCTTCATGTATTTTGGATTTTCGGAAGTGATAGGTCAGTTTCTGGCACGCTATTTCTCTTTAGATCAGATCATTTTTCAGTTTCCATAAATTGATAATTTTACAAAAGGCCTTTTTAAGAGTAGAGCTTTAAAGAAGTAACTAAACGGAAAAATATTACAAATATTACATTTCTGTGCGTTATTTTTCCTATCCAAGGATTCCGGAAGCGCGCCATCACATATCAACTTTCAGGCTCTATTGAACTTCCCTACTATCCACCTGCAAAAGAACTTAAAACTGCATCAATTCAAATATCAACACCATATAAATCAAATATCAATATTTATAATCCCATCACCATTTTAATGTAAAATAAACACGATTTAAAAGAAATACACAGCAAATGACTTGGAAGTTGAAACCCAAATCGATAAATGTAAAAGTATAAACCTCTATAAACCTCAGCATTCATATTGCATTATAAAAATGTCATTATTCTATTAGGAGATTTCAATTGATTTGATTTGCAGCATTATTGAAGATGACTTGAAAATGACTTGGTTACATTTCCAAAACGGAAAAAAATGCCATTATTAGACAGAGCGTTTAGAAATTGCCCAGTTCTGTTTCAGAAAAATGAACGTTTTGCTCCCTTAGGTGCATGTGATCACTGAATCCTTATGTCGAGTTTCTAAACAGGCAAAGACTCAAATTTGTACTCGCCCATTTAGGGATTCTGCAGTTTTGCCTTTCAGCCGTTGGCTTACTGATTATGACCGGTATGATTCTACCTCGAATGTATCAACTGTGTATCGGGGCAAAAATGTCAGTGATGTGACAAATCAGTACTATTTTCCAGACATTTCACTTGTTTAACGTCAGACGGATAACACCAGCTATCAAAACATCTGGTGCAAGAACATCAAAACGCTTTTGACAATAGACAGTTACATCCCCCAATTGATTGATTGCGCCCGCTAAATCACATGACCGATAGTGGGCACCAATCCCATATAAACTATAGCAACGTGTGTTTTGACTGTTGTTTACAAACAGTACAGCCAATTACGTGCAAATGTAATTACGTGCTTTAGATAACACACTGTTTCCACGCTATTTGCCATCGGAGCCACCACCTGTAATATATATGTCATATTTGAGCCAGGTTGTGTGTTTTGTAAAATAAAATGTGTTTTCCTTTCTCAATTTTGTTTGCTGTCGAGAGGTTCGTTGCACTCCCCCCTTGTCTAGTTGTAAGTGGTGAATATTTATTTTATGCCCCGATGTCCTTCATTTGCATTGGAAATGATGTCTAGGGCGGCTCTAGAATGTGAACTCTGCATTAGAGACTCCAGAGGGTAAGTACATACAATGCCAGTGGAATGTGAACAATTGGGTGTGGCCCGTTAATAGTGTGCACTGGAGTGTGCGGCAGTTGTGTGAGTTGATGTGTGTGTGTCTTACCGAATTACCCGGGGGTCAGTAATTTCGTTGTCTTAGTCGCCAGTGGTCAAATTCCGCTCTCAGCAAGCTCAATACATCTACCAGAGATTTTGCTCTTGGGGTTTGATATTTGCTTTTCTTGCTTGTTCGCTGAGTGTTCATCTTGGAGTATTTTAGACTCCATAAACCGTGTGACTTTGGACTGATGACCAATTACAAGCAACAACGGAGGCCACATATCTGTAAGAAGATTTTCCTTTCTTTTATCTTTGAAGTATATTTAAATGATTTAATTGAATGTTAGCATGTCATCTGATAGGTGCTGACAAAACTCAGTTGAATTGTTGAATTGTTGATGTTGCTCAGTAAAATGGCGTACTTTACTTATGTGTGACTTGCACAACCGATCCTGTATTTTCCTGTACTAAAATCTTAAATTTCCAGAGGGCCCTTGATAAGTGGCACTTAATGACAACCCGAGTTTTACTACCAACGTCTTGCCCAGCATGGTACCTGAAAGGGGAGATGTCATGACTACTGGCTATTGTGGCCGTGGCGACCTTGCTCCTGAGTGCGGCTACATCTACCTGTGTGCGTCAACAGATACGGTGTTTTCAGCACATCCATCCGGGACGCAAGAGCCATTGAACGATAGCGAAAGGATGGATTGAACATTATTTTGGTTAAGGCTTACTTAAATTGAATTTATTTTCTGTGAATTTGTGGTTTCACTAAATGGTTAGTCAGTCGCCTCGTGTCCAAGTTAATGCGGCTCGTTTTGCCTATGTGGCTCATTTTGCCTATGCGGCTTATTTTGCCTGTGTGGCCCATTTTGCCTTGGTGGAATGTTATTAGGTTGTGCCCAGGTGTTTCTACTTTATTTTGACGGTCTTTATACATGTACGAGCTTTGGTGTGTTTATGTAATTCACTACTTTATCGATTTGAAGGTATCATAAATTTCATGTCATAGTGATACTGGAGCTCCACACAGTGCACTGATCGATGTATTAGTGTTTTGGGGTGTTTCGTCATTGCAAGCCTGGTTCATTTTAATCTCAAACTCGAAAAACTGTACCTTTAGATTTTAACATTGATGAATTGTACATACGGAGGAGAAAAACCTGTGAACATTGGGATTGTAAATAAATGATTCGAATACTAGACACTTGTCAAGTTTGTTTTCTGACAGAGTTCTCAAAATATATATCGTTACCAAGTTCTAACAGAATTTAACTGTCTTAATTCACGAAAAACAGGTAGTCCTTGGGATTTGCCCGTCAGATTAATTAAGGAATTCTCTGTTGAAATTGCCAATCCATTGAAACTTCTTTTAAATATTTGTATTGAACAAGAAGTCTTTCCCGGACTGTGGAAAACTGCTACAATCATTCCCGTACCTAAAGACCACGAAATTTCTTCTTTTAACCAATTAACACCAATTGCACTCACTCTCATTTTGGCACGCATACATGTATTTGAATCATTCTTGTTCCAAGGTCCAATGCTTAGTGCTATAAGCGCTCGCCTATACGGTGTTTGGCCAAAGTATTGTAATAGGGACATTTTATTTTTTCATTCTACTCATTTTTTTCTATTTTTGATGGTGGTGTAGATATTGTCTATTATTTTTGTGATTTTGTTTTGGAACTTTTGTATTTTGAGGAATTTATGGAATCAACGTGATGACGTTTAATTAAATTCCAAATTGTCGTAATTTTAGTGTATTTTAAAAACCTCAAATTTTCTAGTGTAAAAGAAACATTTTTAGTCGTTTGCCTTGTTTGACATTTTAAAATGAATAAACCAACAATATATATCATGTTGTCAGATGCTAAAGAAGCCATGCATTTTATACATGAACAAACGGAAAATAAAGCATCAGTTTTCTTCAGAACATTTCCTTATTAAGTACCTGCCCATCAAATCACATTTAAATAAAATATGGTATTAACTTTGATAATATGCTAAAGTCCGTTTCAGCTGCACACTTGTTTGTTTTCATATTTGAAAAATCTGTACCTCGTTTTCATTTGACGTGACTGACGTCATATTTTGACTTATAGCTAGTCATGCATTATTGTCCTTTTTGTTTGCTTTCTGCAACTAATGCAGACAGACCAAAGGATTTTCGCAATATATGATTCCCATAGGTCCCTGCATGGTCTTATAGTCTATGATGCACTTAAGCACCCTGCACATAGGTCCCTGCATGGTCTTATAGTCTATGATGTATTGAAGCACCCTCTGTATACAGCTGGGAACGTTCATGGGTTTATTTGCAACTTTTTTATGTTGCAGGTTCTACGTTCTGCCTTATATTTTCAGCGGAATTCGCCAATATTGTTGTTTGAGTTATTTACTATTTTGTTAACCCATTTTAATTTTTCATCCCGGTATTTGTACTTTGTTTCCCCTTCAAACTTTTAAAATGTTATTTTAGACAAGATCGCATTTTTGACACGCCTGCAACTGAGATCGCACAACCTTCTTGCACGAGAGCCGCTCGCAGTAAAGCATGTCTCTGTTTTTAACAGATGACACCCTTTTTTAAACGAGAGACGGCATGTTGGTTAAAGCACCAACATGCCATCTTTTGTTCCCACTGTGGGATGAGAACAATGTTAGCTACACGTATTCTAAGACACTGGTCACCCAACTAGTTATATATGTACATTGCAATAAGAAACACTTATCGATTAGCCGAGGGGTTTACACTTCCTTGTAGCAGGTAGGTTCTTTGTTTCCTTGTCCGTACATGATAGAGTTAGCTTGGTACTGCGTATAGAGTAGTGGTGTGTATCCGAGGATCTCGCCGAAGTACCGGACACACTGAGTGCGCTTGGTGTAGTGAGACTTGTGAGCAGAAATCGCACTCTTGCAATTTACACATGGAAAGTCTGAGTGGCCACCAACCTAGAAAGAATGTTAAGAAGGAACACACAATACATGTAATTTCGGTCAATAATGAAATCACTGATCTCTGTATACTGGCTGGATAGATTCCTCGCCTATCGCCGAACACACACACACACAAAGAATTAGGCCTCCATAACTCGATTTTAAAATTCCAATTCCCAAGACCAAAGATTATACATCCGTTTTTGTGGGATCTTTACCAGGATCAGGTAGCCACCTTGATCACGTGACAAATATCTGAGGATTTCCGAAACTGGTCGACTTTTCCATTTCATGGACTTTCAGGTACAGGCTTACTTTGGTTGTCAGTCATAAAAAAGCAAAGGCTCAGCGCAGGGTCAAGCAGGCACCTCATATGCTGAGACTGAGGTGCAGTGACTATGGGTGGACGCACAATTTCTACAGTGGGAAAAAGACCTCGTTGCAAAAGAAGTCGAAAGCTGTCACTGCATTGTAGGTGGGTGGTTCCCCACAGGAAGGGAACACGGGTATGCCCGCTTGAAGCCGGCGTGTACTCCATCAGGTTGATACCGATATTGAGCAGAGGTTGCCCGAAGAGACTTTTTGGTATGTCTCTGGTGAAACAGGGAGACAAGTGTCAGGTGCAAAGGAAGAGGCTGAGTGGAACTCCAAAGTTGGGAGGGAGGTGAACTTTACGGAGAGTACTCCTCTAAAGGACCCAGGCTCAGGGAACTCCATGCAGGGTGGACGCCAATCGCCTTGGAGCGTAAGTCACAGACGACCTGACGCTGTTCCTGTCAGGGCGATTCTGTGGCTTGGAATATGGTATGTCGAGAACTAAACGAACGTTTACTTTTGTGATAGGGAAAAAGTCACCCTTAAACAGGTCCACAGTGAGCGGCTAAGTTTTGCAACTCGACCAGTCGAGCGACGGACAGCAGTTCAGTTGAAGGAGTGGACAGTTTGTCAGAGGATCTTTGGCCACTGAAACGAAAGGCACATGTCTATGAATAACTTGGGTCAGAAGGGAAGTTTGGAGCGACTCAATCGCAGGCCAAACATAACTCCTGACCGGTGTAGTGGGAGAGTGCTCTGGAAGGAGTACTTCCGCCATTTCGAAACATGTCGAGAAGTAAACCAGTGGAGCGAAGAGCAAGCTGTGAACTGGCTGCCCGCAAGCGTGCAAGAGGGACGCCCTGCGGTTGGTGGGAGACTCAGGCCAAAAGCACAGAGTCAGCTCGCGCTGGTCAAGTTGCTTGAGCACAGGTTTGGGTCAGCTCACGCGACAGAATCAAAACTATATCGTTGATCTGAGGCACCGGCGCCAAAAGCCAAAGGAAAGCTAGTAAGAGTAAGGGCAAGCAATCCATTAGTTAACGGTGCAAGCATACCCCGAGACTCAGGAAGAGGCTCGAGAGAAGTTGGCAAAGAACCACTTCATCAATGCCTTTGTGAGCCACTAAGTACGAGGGGGCATCAATATGGCCTGTCCAAAAGCTTTGGACGAAGCAGTCCAGGCTGCCCAGAGACTGAGAACTTTGAAAAGGTCAAACAGCACGGATTGCTGGATTGGAAGCCCACCAAGTTGGCCACGACTTTGAAATCTCAAAAAGAAAGAGGTTGGAGATGATGAAGTCATTGTCAGGTCATATCAAAGGCCAGGGCGCGTCTTCTCTGAATAGACCAATTCGCTGACGAATACTGTGGTGTCCCCGTCACTCAAGCACGCATTCCTAAACTTAAAGTGTTCAAGTGTGGTGAGAAAGGGCATTTCACCTGGAAGTGCAAGAAAGCTCTGAAGCAGGGAAACGGCGGTCAGCCCCCCCCCGTAGGACCTGCGGGGCGGCTGAGAGGCCAAAATAGTCCAAAAGACCACTTATTGATTGTGACGGTGGAGTAGAAAAGAGATCCAAGAAAGTCGATGAGCAGCGAATAATTTCTCTGCCTATTTCAAGCCGCGGTCCGCGTTAAGGGTTGTTTGTTGATGGGTTCGTAAGATCAGTTAGTGTCGATTTTTAATTGACACGGGGTCAACTGACAGAGTAAGTAGTGAGGTGTACTATCAAATCCCAAGAGAGAAAAGAGTTGTCTTGGAGACAGGAGATGTCCAAGTGAAAACAGATGAACGGAAGCAAATTACCTGTGCTGGGTATAGCTTTGGAAGAGGAGCAGGGCGAACCACTTACCCTGTGAAGGCAGTCTTCGCTGAAATGAAGTACTCAGTATCCTGGACATGGGTTTTCTCGAGCCAACAGGTAGAAACATAGACTTCCAACTTTGGGAGCGGAGACTCAATGGTGAGAGAATTAAGTGCACAAATGTTGCAGGCGAACCATTTGTTGGACATTGTGGTTTCCCAAACAACAGTAATTCCAGCAAGTCACAAAGCTGTGGTCTCAGGCAAAATTGCTTGGAAGGGCACAGACGTGCTCGTGCCAGCCCTGGTAAAACCTGTGGAAGGTGATGGTGACTTAGCCAAGAAAGGCTTCATGATGGCCAGATCTCTGGTTAAGAGTGAAGCCAATGTTGTTCTGTTGCAGGACTTAAGTTCCGGCAGGGAGAAAAGGGTTGCTCGTGAGGGGACAACGCGGGGGTGAATTCCCAGGCTGAGGCCATTTCAATTCGGGAGGAGTTGGACATGTTGGCAAATACATGTACGGAAGAAGAGCTGCCCCAGCGTTTGCAAATTTATATGAGAGGGGTACAGCCAATGTAGAGGCCAACTACCGTAGTGAAGTCCAAAAATGTCTGATAAACTCCCAAGACGTGTTGTCCAAGGTGACCATGAAATCGGTCTCACAGACGTGGTCAAGCGACACTAGTGATGCTAAGCTGATAAAACAGCGGGTGAGGCAAAAGTCAACATTTGTTGTGAGAAATGGATTGTACTGGTGGAAATATATGCCTTTCGAACTGTGCAATGCCATGGCAACTTTTGAGCGGCTCATGAAAAATATCAGGGCTGGCTTACAGTTGGAGATCCTACTGATCTATTTGGACGACATCAATGTGTTTGGTCAGACGGCGATAGAGACCTAAGCCCGTCTCCAGGTGGGGTTTGATCGGCTTAAACACGCCGGGCTCAAATTGACGCCCAGCAAGTGCCATTTGTGTCAAAGGTCAAGGCATACCTGGGGCACATTGTGTCTTCAGAAGGCGTGGCCACAGACCAACAAAAGGTTGGAGCAAATTGGCCAATTTCTAGGTGTATACGAAAAGTGAGAAGCTTTTGGGGTCTCGCCTCGTGCTACGGGAGGTTCATACGGGTATTTGCAGAGATTGCAAAGGAATTTGTGAGGACTGATAGTTATCAGTCCACGAGTGGAAGAGTAGGCTCCGACTCCGAGCCGCTCCAGTTCTGTCATATCCAGTTCCTGAAGGTGACTTCAGTTTGGACACCGATGCAAGTGCTAACGGCATCGGGGCGGTTTTGCCCCAGGTCCAAGATGGTGATGAAACAGTGCTTGCTAAAGCAAACTGGAAGCAAACCTCAGCAAAACTACTATGTCACTCATAAAGAGTTGTTGGCTGTGGTGGTACATTTGAAATATTTCAAACAATGCCTATACGGCTGGAAGGTCAGAACTGACCATGCTTCATTGCGGCAGGTACTTAATTTTAAGAGCCCCGAGGGTCGAGGGCAAGCTAGATGGTTGGAGGTTTTGTCTCAGTACGACTTGGTTGTAAAGCACAGAAGTGGCAAGAAGCATGGAAATACTGATGGATTGTCGAGACGGCCATGCAAACAGACTAATAGTGCAGCCGTGATGAAGAGGTCAATGAAGTTCAGACAACTGGTGTGGTATCCGAGGGTCAACCTAAGGATAGAGAGTTCTTATTTAGGGGCGTGGCTGCCTAAGCAACCCTTTCACAAAGTGCTCAATGGGAAGACTATTTGTAGGATGACACTATGAGTTGGCTCACAAGGTTAAAGGAATAAGGCTAGAGTCACCCGAGGCGAAGACAATTTCCCACTTATCAGCAACCTGCAATACCTATTCGTCGAAGTGGAACCAGTTGGTGGTCCGTGACGGAGTGTCGCACAGGATATAGGTGGCCGGACTCCGATGATGGAAAGTCCATGCTGTGGCTATTAGTGTTGCAACTAAAGTTCCGCAGTGAAATCATGGCTGAGCTGTGCGCGTGCAGACATAGCCTGTTGCTAAACTGTTGCAAATCTTGCGCACGCGCAAGATTAACGAACGCCATGAATATAATTATGTGGACTAAAGGCTAACACGGATTTGTATCACGATCAGCCAAGAGATCTGTCGTTGGTTTAAGAACACCAAAAGCCCGCACAGTGGATGGCGCGAACCACTGGTTAGGATGACAGACCGAGATCCTGACCCGTGTTGTATCGTAGCCTGTTGCCACTCCACGTGATCATATTGTGTAAAGCAAATACGCTAGGCTCCACTCCTTCTGCAACGATTCCTACTCCTTTATTTCGGAATAACTCCCTAATTAGATGGACTAGCTAAGAGTAATATGTTAGGTTTATGCATCTTAAAGATTTATACCTAATACTAGTAAGGAACGTGCGTTTAAGACCGGCCAAAGAGAGTGGACGCGACTGATGCCTGAGCCGCAGGTGAGGCCGTTATCAGCGTCCAGTATCCTAAGCCAGTCTGAAACATTATTCCCATTCATAAATACCCTTTTCAGTCAGATAGTCAAAAGAAGTCAATATATGAAGGATTTCCAATGATTTTGTTGTGGAATTTTACTTTCATTTCCCTAAACACCCCGTCAATTTTATTTTATAGTCGTTCAAAAGAATCTCCTGCAAATCCGAGCGCGGCGAGCCGCTTGCATACAGACTCTTGACCAATCAGAACAGATTTCAAAGTCTCCTATCCAGGCGCCAGTGCGTGATTTAAGCAGCGGGCATTAGGCCTATTTCTCAGCGGGCATTATCACATGCTAATACACGTACGGTCAAGTTGCACGTTGTTGAGTAGGGAGTCTGAAGTATTTATGAATGTGTATTTTCTACACGTCACGTATTAAACTCATCGCTTCACTGCATTTGGGGCTTAGCAAATCCAGCTTACATATATCGTCATGTATGCCTGTTACGCGTTTCTACCCGTTAAATAACCAACCCACACACCAAAACAAAATTTGATCCCGCGTGTTTCCGAAATCGGCCCAGTTCGCTGTAGAAAGGAAAATGCCTCTTATTCCTTTTGTCTAGATTTTCAGCCGATGAATTAATTATATATTGGTTTTTGGGTAGCCAATCTATTTCCCAAACCGAAAAATATTTGAAACCCTTTGGGTTAAGATCAGCCAGCCGGTTTATCATCAGTTTAAGATTGGCCACGTTATGGTCTCTGCGACCAAATGGAAAGGCTAAACGGTCTTTGGTATATTTTAAAACATATGACACGGCAGGGAAACCAGCCTAGATGTTTAGGGCTCCATGTGCTTTGGAACACCAGTGGGTGCATAACGCGTTACATAAAGAAACCTCCTATTTTTTGCACCAAATCTTTCAAACAAACTTCAAGCATTACCACCACTACCAGTATTTCTACTACATTTTAATTTAAATGTGAAGGTGCTGGATTCAAATTTTGGAGGCTGCCGCTTTTAAAGTGATTTTCTGCTGAGGACTAGGATAATTATTCACTTACCTTAATGGGAGGTTTTCTTGACACAAAAGAAACCAAGAAATTCAGAGCGATGTCGTCACAGTTCATGGTTTTGTCTACATGGTCTCTGATGGCTTGTGGCATTACGTAAGAGTAAACATAGTTGTAGTACTGTAGAAGGAAACAAGCCAAATACACGTATTGCCAATTAACTTAAATATTTTTACAATTTCTGTATCCAAGCTTGAAATCAACCTTGTGCACTCTTAAGAACGACTTTGATCAAGATTAACTAACCTTGTGTAAAAAGGCTGCCTGGGGAAGCACCATTGACACCTCACACGACTTTTCTGCGTCATATCTAAAGTTCTCGTTGTTCACATCCATTGCGTGGTTACGGCCAGGAAAACCCACAATCTGGTCCCGGTTCTCGCGCCATACTCTTAAAAAGAAGAAAACCCATTTTAATACGTTTGTAAAAGTGGCTGCATGGGAAAATCTGCAATGGAACGATCCAGTAAGCCCCGCCCACTGAGCACGTGGGCACTTGTTCACATGTTCTTCTACAGTATCACACTCGGGACGTATTCGAAACCCCGTTCTCGTGTGCATTGTCCGCGAACAACATTCTCATCCCCACTGACTGCGGAGTGGATGGAGAACGTCAAGAACAAAGATGGCGGACACAGAAACATTCCGCAACTTCACGTTAATTTTGTTGCATAAAATAGAAAACACCATTAATAAGGAAACAGTAACCGAAGGCTTACATACGTGACTGCAGGAGAGAATTTACCTTGACCGTTTTATATGGATATTTTCGAATTTCATGCATTGTAAGATCGTAAATACCATAACATCTTTCAGTTAGTGTTGCAATGGCGACTGCTACCTTGTATCTTAGCTTAGCTGCACTCCATTTGCACTTCGGCGTTCGTAATCAAGAACCCGAGAACACTGTTAGTGAGTCTCAGGAAAATGGCGTTTCGAATACGCCCCGTCGAGGTTTCAGCTGTGCGCATCTAAAATACACGTGGACACGCATGTTAAACTTTGTACACATTGGACCCAAATCATGGCTGTGATTGGTCAGAAAAAAAAAACTGGGGCGGGGCTCAATGGATCGGTTTATTACTAGCTAATTTTCCAGCAGATGCCCTATCGACATGATCAACACACACCTGAAGGCTAAATCAATCTCGTCATGCGTCAGTCTGTGGACATCGTCGTCCAGGAAAAGAATGGCGTCCGTTTCGATCTCGTCAAACGGAAGAAACCGATTGTTCATGCTATTCTTCGCCTGTAGGATAATCTGTGTAAAGAAAAACACATAAGGCCTATACTGATTAACTACAACATATCTTTCTCAGTGAATAAAGACCACAATCCATGCATGATGGTCTTTTGTTGCTTTTTGCTAAGGCTCAAGGGCATACCAGAATCTGGTCTAGATAACCTTTGCGCCTAATTTCTGTATTTTTCAGAAGCTCTATGGCAATATTTGGAAACACGTCGTCTTAAAAAGGGGAGGGGGTAATAAAACGTTCACATATGAATGTGTACGAATCAGCCTTCGCAAAACTCCACGAGCTACTATACCTGCATAGGTACCCGTTGTTTCGGCCACTTTGCATATGAAGACGGAGGCTTTGGGTGATTCCACACTATCAAAACCTGCAGCAACAGTCAAGGAAGGATGTTGGTGAAAAATTAAAGAGGAAAATACAGAGTTCAAATATCTCTTAAACTTTACATTTGATTCCAGAGAACATAAAAACATCTCTGTCAGTAGATAGTCTGATAAATATTATACTACACGGATATTATTCATAAAACACAGGCTAAAATGTAGCAGGCTCATGCACTATTAATCTGAAGCTGCCTCTTAACGGGAAACTTCACAAATCCTCAAGTTTTACTGGACATTCAAGAAAATCATGGTGTTGATTTACGTTTCAAGCGATTGTTGAGAAAATGGTTATCACTGGACTCTACTTTTTCCATCCTGAGAAATCTAGAGAAAATGGAAAACTTTGTGGACCTATCCTACCTTGTTCATGTAGGGCAGCCCCTGAAGCCGGCTAAGGAGTGTGATCAGCTGAGGTTCTCTGTCGTAAGTCATAATGATGACGGTGAACTGCTCAATCGGCGAATTGCCCCCAAGTGACTTTCGGAACGCCTCCCCAGTTTTCCTGGTGCCTTTACTAATTGGCTCAAAGGTTTTCCCTGCCTGTTCGAAGTAGACATCAGAGGGAAGAACAGGTTCTAAGGGCGTGCTGGGATAAAGATGGTAAGGCCCAGGGAATGAGTTCCAGGAAGGCTCCCGCGCCCAGCTCAGGTACGAAGAGTTCCGTAGGTATTTTGTAGACGATGAAGAGCGTTTCTGGGTTGGCCCAACATCTATTCGAGTTAAACCTTGGCTTGGCGTTGCCGGAATAGGTCTTGGAGGAAGCGACAATCTGGTGCGAAGTGTCGCTAGGATACCGTTCATGACCGCTTCAGTGGAGCTCAGGTACGTCGTCCATAGGAACCACCCCTGGCGGCGCAAGGCCAGTATGTCGCTCTCGTGGATAGACGAGAGATAATGGATCATTTCCTTTGCTCGAGCCTTAGGCAAGATTATCACTGCCTTTTCCCATGCGATGAAGTCGGCAAACGGGAGTCGAACCTGTTCCCCTAAGACGACGGGCACAACATTTTGCCTCAAGGCTTCGTGTAGTCTCGCCTGCAGCATTGTCGAGGACAAGATCCTGTCAGTGGGGGCTATAATCAACGCAAACGTTGACTGTCTCAGAATTTCAGCTCTCTTCTCATTATTGTCACACATCCACCATTCCGAAGGATACACAAAGTCACGGTCAGCAAGGATTTGTGGGCAACTGAGGTCAATATAAACTTGATTTCTGTACACTGTCTTCAAACTCTGGATAGCATCATGGATGCTGTCTCTAAAAGGAGAAGTCCTGTGTGGTAACTGAACACCCTGGAATGACAGTAGGTATTTTCTCTTGGCCGGTGTCAGCCGAGGTGTTCCATGCCAGTCAAAGGTGGCATCTGTCCCCAGAAGCATCGGGGTGACAATATCAAAGCCCGGCCGAAACTGTGACACTTCAAAATTGGACTGTGCAACGATTGCATGGCTACTGCTGACAGTTTGGAGAACATTGTGGGAAGACACGTTCCTTGCTAAGTTTAAGAGGACGTGATTTTGTCCTGTCCCTTTCCAAGATGGCAGCTTTGAGAAACTCGCCCCTACAGATTTTGTAGGGCTCAATCCATTTCCACTGGATCCTTCGACCAGAACTAAAAATACGCAGGCAGTATTTTGATCGGAAGTATAGTACGGATTAACTGTCATGACCTTTTCAATACCATTTGACAACTTTCCAAGACCTTGATAAAGGTATACTGAAAAGTCTGAATTTAAAGGACATCGCGAGTAATCAAAACAGTTGCTCAGTCGACATTCGTTGGTAGGATGGCCACCATGGGTACCATTTTCAAACCTTTGCCTCACTTCGTTTTGGCAGGTATTTCCTTGGATCCAGGGCTGCAATTTAGAGAATGAGTCAACCTCTTGTACGGCACTCCTAATCCCCTCACTTTCCGTAAGAAGCTTGCTAATGTAGCGGGCGCACTGGTGGAGTTTCATCTGCAGGTCAGCCTCGTCCCTTCTGCTAGTTGGACTAGTACTGTCCAATGCCGAACTGCACACAGTAAAATCCTGTACGTCGGCACCATCTCTAATTGACTGGGCTAACCTTGTTCTGTTCACTATCCAACCTCCGTTATGCCACACAAGCAGGTAAAAAACAACAACCACAACTAAAACAAAGGAGTACAGCTTCCGGCTGGCAAAGCCTTTGCGGAGAACACCCATCGTCTGCATGCCCGTACTGTTGAACAAACAAGTGTTAAGCGTACATAGCCTGTTTCATGCAGCCAGTGCTTGTCACATGCAACCAAATCCACGTAGCATCGATCAGTCATTAGAATTAACACATCAGTCGGTCACGAGATAGGCCTGAGGGAGAAACAAGTTAGGTGAAGGATATCCTTTATTCTGACACCTTTACTCACGTTGTGTTGCAAAAAATTGTTAACGTAAGTTAAAATTAATTTTCCTGGTAAAGTATATTTCTTGGTGAAAAAACCCATTGCTACGTTATCTTTCTTTACACACTCAACTTTTTTTTTTTAATTTAGTTTTTGCAAATGTTATTAAGGACACGTGCTATTAACATTGAAACTGGTCCTGAAGCTCACAACGGATGAATAAGAACACTTGAACGCACATTTTTTCATTCTGTGCACTTTGCAATCATCTGTTACGCTGCGAAAGTGATTACTATGGTGCTCCATATGTGCCGTCGGTGTGTCGCATTTTCGTTTGAGCGTCGCATTTTTGGATCGTCGTCGCAATTTTTTGCGTCGCATTTTGGATTGGCGTCGCATTTCTTAATCGGCGTTGCACTTTGGTTCAGGTTTTGACATTATGGTATACTAGATTGCACCTCACCTAGATTGCAAGTGTAAGATTATTTTCATTTAAATTATCCTGGCTATATAATTTGAGGCTTGCGACCGGAAAAAAATTGAGGATAACTTTGGTGTTGTTCTCAAGTGGTCTTACATAAAGCTTCCCTGTGGAAAAACTCATTTAAATACCACTAATGGTGCTCATTATATTGAGTGTGATTTTTGGTGTAATATAAATGTTTTGGGGTAGGATGTTTCCTTTGATTTAAATTTATTTGGGGAATCACTTGATACCAGATTACCTCACTAATTGGGGACTGTTTTCCATATCAGTCTAGGAAGAGGAGTTGTCATGACAAATAGCAACCTAATGGTCATTTATTTTTCTTCATTGATTTTTTATACTGCGATAAATGTTTTAATTTTGGGGGTTTTGCTTTAACAATAAGATTCAGACTGAGCTGGAAGATGTGACAATAGAATGGAACCAGCACCGGACAAGAGCATCCCCAAATGTGGTCGCATTACCTGGAAAATCTGTTTCTTGCCAACACCTTACGGTATAACTTTGCCCTATTTCTCCCTGAAGAATAAAGCAGCACATTGCGGTTAGCGCAATACGAACCGCGGTCTCCCATAACTTAAAAAGTTGTCCACCTATTTCATACAATTTTCTTTTTGAATAAGAATAACAAGCTCTTGTAAAGCGCCATCTATCTAGCAAACTATTTCAAGGCGCTGTATTATCATTACCCTTGCACATTGGGCTCACACATCACCTGAGCATTCCTAAAAACCATCTCAGCTCCCTGGGGAGTATACCAGCCCGGTGATGCCATTTCGGCGCAAGCGGCTAAACAATCGTGTCTGCCCTGAAAGTACCCTTTTACTCCTGGGTGGAGAGGGGCACATGGGAGTAAAGCAACTTGCCAAGATCACAACATGTTGCAACCAGCTGGATTCGAACCCCTGACTCTATGATCAGAAGCTACAGACCCTAACCACTAGCCCACATGCCACATGCCTCCTCTCTACGTACCACTGAAAATGCATATTCCACTGACTGAAAACTGATGTATTTTTAACATTATCTTTCATTCACAGATACGCAGGAATATCACAATCCAGTAAAATGCACTTGGGGATATTCTTGCAATGAAAGATGAGTTCACATTGCCACCGACAGCTAAATGATGTTCTTCAACGGATATGGAAGATGTTCTGCAAGGTCTTATGACGAGTCACTACCACGTCATCCCTTGCACAGTAACCGAGGGCATCCAGTTATTTCAGTGGATATGTGTCTTTGAATAAAGTTTTCACTGACATCCCATCACATTGAGATGAAAAAGAAAAATCAAAATTGGCAACTCTACAGGAAATTCAAAGCATAGTGTTAATACCACCTTATAATAGTTATAAGACTGTTTCTATAAAACATGTTACTCCTATCCTGATAGGAAAGTCCGACGCAAAATTGAATTACACAACCTCAAGCTGGGTTTTAATTTTCTCCAACAACTTCATGTATAAGGCAGCCAACGTTAATTCAATAAGAACAAAGATTATCATTTTACTGATGAAATCATTACTGAGAGATGCGACACCGATCCAAAAATGCAACTCGAAAAAAGACGAAGAATGCGACGCCAATTAAAAAATGAGACGCCCGGATCAAAAAATTCGACACCTGATGGCACATACGGAACACCACAGATTGCGAATGTCAAAATGTGCTCTATTATTAGATACGGAAAAATAAAATTCTTTCCACTTGATGTTTGCACGTATAAATGTTAATACATTGTATTCCAAAGGGCTATTATTCATCATGGTTATTGGGAGTTGCAGGTATTACTGGGTATCGGTACCAGCTAACTTATTCCTTCAAAAACAATTGCCTCAGGTCTGAGATAAACATATAAAATAAAAGGGCCAATTCCACAAAACTTGAACCTTAAGAGGCCAAGGGTGGAACTTTATTTTTCCTACCACTGCATTTTCTTTTATTCCAAACTATTCTGCGAATTTTAGAGTAAGATTTGCCACATGATTTGACACTAAAGTTTTTTCTAAAGACAGCTGAATGCACCATTCTCATGATTTGCGACAAACGTGTAATGTGTCAAGAAATCTTGTAATTTTTCATTAACCGTACAGGAAAAGCGTTGCCTCATAAACATTCACAGTCACATATTAATGACCGTTTAAGTAAATACATTTAAACTGCAGTTTTACCCCATGAAGTGATTATTACTAATGAAAAGTCCATGTACACTTTCTGTAAGTATGGGCCTGTCATCTTAACCTTCTGCCAGTCATATTTGGCCCAGGTCAATACGTTCCCTTCATATAGATTTTTATTTATTTGACAACTAGACCGAAGACGCGTGTAGTGACTGGATCTCGTCTTCGAACCCCCCTTTTGAAAGTGGAATTTTCCAGAGGAGTCTACAATTGCACACCTTCCAGTTAAATGGACTATCCCAGGGTTGCTCCTGGTGCCGGACGTTCATGCACAAAGAACCCTCGAACACTTACAATAGCTATTGTTAATTTTGGTCGAAAAGGTCACGGTGGGAAGAGAGTCTTTGCTTGCTTTTTATTAGCAAATTCAAAATACATAACAGTTTGTGTAGGTGATGAGCATAGCAAAGCCACAGAAAAGACTTGGAATTTTAGGAAAGTGCAGTCGCCTGTTCAGTTGGCCGTACATGTACATGTAAACATACCCACATTGAGGCTACGCAAAATGAAATGGCCTCAATTTCTCCGCTTTGACCAAATGAATACGTGCTGTCTACCAGAAGCAGAAGTGTTCGTATGCAACTGTTGCCAGAGTTCGAACTTTCCTGATGTATATATCACCCGATTAAAAATAATTTAAAAAGTAAAAAAGTCCTAATAAATCTATAAAGGCCCTTAGGAATGCTTACACTTTCAACCGTGTTTCTAATGGATGCATGTATAGGAACTAGACAGGCCCGTTGAAGTAAGTTTTCAAAAATCCCTACAAACACTGTACAAGGATGCAACCACGTACTGTAGTAACGCAAAAATAGTGTCAGTGTGTCTCCACTGCAAACCGTGACTATCGCCGTGCATTCAGTTACCAGCCTTCGACTTTTTTTTCAATTCACAGCAGAAACACCTGGGTCTAAACCGCAAGTTAAGTTCGTCTTAGGTATTATGTACCTTCGAATATTTATAAAGATGATATTATACAGATAAGATTCAAAACCAGCGAGGAACAACAATTTCTGTTCTGAAAATACTTTAATGGTTGTTTAAAAGCGATTTTTTATTGACGGTGCGTACTCCGTGAACGTTTACTCTGTAGGCTTACAACACATTTTGTTGGCAGGAGTTTTCTTACAATGTTTTCTTGGTTTTATCATTGGTGTAATCACATTTGCAAAAAAAATAATTGCCAACATTTGATTTAAATTATTTAGTTGTGCTTGAAAAACTGAGTGAAGAGACTTGAAACTTGACACTTGATTACGAACCGAAAGAAGTCGTTAAAAAGTCAAGATTTACCTTGAAAAGTGATTTTTCATCTCGCCTGATGTTTATAATCCACTCTTTTCGTAGTGTCGTATCTTTTAGGAACTGGAAGCTGAAACAGATAGCTGGAGGTGACTGTCTCTTGTCAGAGAAACACACTGATACTGAGCAATGTTTAGTGACATCGTGGAAACCTAACGCCTTAAGTTAATCTCGTTTTCAGTTCAGATGCATGGATTTACTTAAAATAATATCAAGAAAGGCCTTTCAACACAACGTTTTACGTAATCAACGTAATTCATATAGGATAGGATAGGAAAGGATACGATGGGATGGGGTGGAATGGGATGGGGTATGATGGGATGGGGTGAGTTTGGATGGGATGGGTAGGATGGGGTGGGTTTAGATGGGGTGGGATGGGATTGGATTGATGGGGTGNTTGGATGGGATGGGGTGGGATGGGATGGATTTGGATGGGATGGGGTGGGTTTCGATGGGATGGGGTGGGATGGGTGGGATGGAACGGGGTTGGGTTTGGATTATTCCAGTATCCAAGTGGACGGATCTTCCTTCCGTCACTGTGTTGTAGTCGAGTCCACTATACGTACAAGAACTACTTTGAGTTTTAGTCTGAGTCCGATGCTGACTCGGAGTTCTAGTCCGAAAATCGGGGTCCAAGTCCAAAAATCGGAGTCCGAGTCCATGTCCGAAAATTTGAGTCGAAGTCCGAGCACTTCGAGTTCTCATACATTAAAACCATACAGTAATGCATTGAGATCTGTTCGGCATTTACTGCAAAATTGGTTCTAAATATGTTAGTTAACCCTTTGTGAATATGAAAAACTAGGACTAGCATTCTTAATACGTATCAGAAAAATATATATTAAATATTCAGAACATTTACAAAAAATAATAAATAAATAAAAAAGCACCACCAGCTACAGTCAATAAGGCATCAAAATTCATAAACAACTACATACGTCTAGGCAAATCAACTTAAAAAGTAAGAAAATGCCTTTACAACAGGCTACGATATTGTTACATATTCATGATTTTCCCCCATGTAAACCGGAAGTCTGTTCCACCGAGTATGTGCATACAAATAGATGTACTAGGCCTACATGGGCTAATACCGTGCCCTTTGACTTAAGCTCATACAGGACAATTGAACTTTACGTCACTTGCTATATTCTGAAAATTGAACCCATGAACTAATATCAACCCTTTTTGAGTTATGCTACGTTTATTGAAAAAGAGTTAAATAAGGGGGTCAGAGCAAAATACGTTTACGTTGCCCAAGAATATATCAGGCTCTCGAAGCTTTTCTGGGTCCTATACAGGCAGTTTTTGTTGCTATTGGAAAAAAATCGAAATGAAGGTTTTAATATCTGTCACTGAGGTTATTTAAGAATGATACCATTCCATAAATGATATGAAGAAAGCTATCCACAGAAAGAGACCATGACATGTTTGGCCAAAATACTGATTAGCATGGCGGTTTTTAGATGATTCGTCCCCACAAAAATATTCATTATTCTCTCATGTGCATGAGCAGTTATACACGACCAGCCAGCGCACTTGCTCACCGTACCGTTGAATACACTTCAGCTCCGCAAGTCTGCACCCACACCTCAACTCACAATCGACATGTTGACTCATCGACGTCTGGATTGCAACTGACATGGCGATATGATGGCACGAACGAGCGTGCGCAAAACCCGAGGGCGCACTTTGATATAAAAGAACCTATATGGTTGCAGGCACAGACATGTCGCAGGACATGCAGTAATTAGGCCGAAAATTGCTTACGCGGGCCAAATCACAATTTCAAATTCTCTACGAAATAGAGCATTTTGTGGCCCATGATCTTGAAGATTTGTAGACAAGACAGGTTTAGACGAGAAAACAGAATACCAGCTTGTGGCTAAGTGAGATTTGGAAGAAGTCAGTGCCTGAACACGGTCTATTTTTCGAGAAGTGTAGGAAACGATATTTCAAAATGGCAAGGGATTTCACGACTGCACTTTGGGGGTGCCCTTCATCAGTCATCAGTTAATGAATGGAAATTTGAAAAGAAACTAAACATCATAAACTAGACTTTAACTTAAGGTGCGTGTCAAACGCATGAGAAACTCGTAAGAAGTTTTCCTGATTTTTTGAAGTTGGGGTATTAATTACTGTTGGCTTTGGCAGTTTATTTACTGGCCTGCATCCATAGACCCGTCACTATGCGTTTACACTGACTGACTGATCACAGAATCATAGCTAACTTTTCTTGCCGAGAAACAAATATGACTCCTCAAATGTTGGAAAATTCACGAAGGTGTTGTGTTTGTGCTGTCCTATTCATTTCCTTATTTAGAAAGCTACTGAGGGACTCGTGCTGGCTTGAACCAATTCCTCGAGTCTTTGGGCTCGGGTATACTAGTACCAGTGCCCCCCCCCAAAAAAACCGAGTCTGAACCGTTAAAAGTGGACTCAGTCCGGACGCAAAGTCCTACAACACTGTGCCGTATGTTCACATTTTCTGATAACGAAACCAAGGATTTTTTAAAATACTTTGTGCAATGTGGAGCGCAAACATGGAGACAATGAGTAACAGTGTTAGAGATGGTAGGAAATCCCAGAAGAACGGTCTTCATTCCTGCAGTGATTTACTGTCCAAAATTAATAACTTCATTTACAGTATATTACTGGCACCTGCGCAGCTAGTAAAGTTCTGTGACAATTTACAGGAGGCATATTGTGGCTGGACTAACCTTATTTTGCCATAATATAAGAATATAGGCCTAAAAACAACTGCCAGAAAGTACAGCTTCTGGCTGGTAATTTGCGGAAAAACACATCAACTGCATGCGTACACTGCAATCAAACAAGTCAAGTGTTACACAGCTAGTCCCATTCAGTCACTGTTTGCCACATGCAACCATGTGGCATCAGTCTCTTCTCTGCTGCTCTTGGCAAGGTCTGCCATGCAGCCTATAGGGCTTTTAAAATTTAATTTGAGGGAGAAGTTTGGGGGAACACCTGCATGGAAAATGAAACAAACGTGCGAAACACAATAAGGAAGTGCTAAATATAGGGACTGTCAAAGAGGAGTACTGTTATTGAAATTCATTTACTGGTACGTGACACTTCAAAAAAACAAGGCAATACCCATGAAATTCCCAATTCAGAAACGGCCCGCTTTAGGAAGCGCTTCCATAATCATTTCATTATTTCAAAACAAAATCTGGACAAATTGCAACATGCCCTGAATGCAGCAGCCAGGATCCTCCCCATAAGACCTCAAAATCTGATCACATTTTACCTGTTTTACAGAAACTACATTGGTTGCCAGTACGTGAGCGAACACAATTAAAAAAATTACTCTTAATACGGAAAGTAGTTAATGGATTAGCACCAGGCTATCTCGATGAACTTATTACACTGTAAATTCCTCAACGCAGCCTCCGATCATCTAACAAGAGTCTTCGATCCGAAGAGGGCCCTCGATCCGTGGGAGATTGTGTATAAACCTGCAAGTATTACAGCGAGGGCGATTGCCGGCTAGGCCACGGTGCCGATGTTGCCGCTGTTGACATTGCATAGTGGTAGGATGACTGAACAGACAAAAGTCCCTCTAATCGATCGGTCACGTCGGAAGGCAGTTAGGGGAGTTGAGTCCTCGCTGAAGATGTTGCTAGTCACGGGATCGGTACGCAACAGGCGAAAGAACTTGAAATGATAACCCGGACTCGCAGGTTAATGGGTGGTATGTTATGACCAAAGGGATGCGTTTGCTTGTAAATTTAGTCGATGGTATTAGTGCTTCCTTACTGGTAATGGTAGAAACTCGACATTAAGGCACTGGTAGTGACGTCACAGGGGTAGCCTCTATCGATGAAGAATGTTGCCACTTTAGAGGCTTATTGCTTGAAATCGTCGTCATCGCTAAAGATACGCCGAAGTCTGAGAATCTGAGAGTAAGGGACAGAATTCTTACAAGACCGTGAATGGGAGGAGTCGTATTGGAGATAGCTATTTGTGACGAACCGTCTGGACTATTGTAATAGTTTATTGTATGGGTTGCCAATAGAACAAATAGCAAAACTCCAAAGGGTTCAGAATGCAGCGGCCAGACTTGTTACAAACACACGGAAGTTTGAATATATAACTCCTATATTATGTCAACTCCAGTAGTTGCCCATTCGTTCAAGAATTCATTTCAAAATTATCCTATTGACATTTAAAGCTCTTCATGGACTTTGTCCCAGATGCCTGCAAGGTCTTTTTATTGTTAAGAGACATTGCAGGTATCAACTCAGGTCTGGAAACAATGGTCCTCTATTGGATTATCCTAGTTGGAAGACACTATCCACTCTCGCGACACCCCTGCCTAAAAATAGAATATCGTGCGTCCTCATTTAATGAGGGCGACATGGGGCTAAAGCCGGCATTCTAATTAGTCGAGAGCCCGTCAAAATTAGGTAGTATCGACTCGTTAGACGGGTTTCATTACTATTTCAATCAATCGAAATAATATCCATCATGCCCACGCCCCGGGTCGAAAGTTATTTTGGAAGTGTATCTTTACACTTTAGCGACCCCGCTGCCTCCATTTCAACCAGAGCAACGCAGTTTTTCACCATGACAACAGCTTTGACTAAAGTGTTGTCGGTGGAGTCCTTCGCTTTTAAACCAGAGTAGGAAAGTGAATGCATCACACCACACTTCTCAAATCGAAATAAAATACCCAGTTCTTATGCCCCACGTTGAGATTGCATGATCATCATTGTTTTCAATCAAAGACGACTCCTTGCAACCAGGGACATTGGGTTTATCGTGATCAAACAAGTCCTTGTAGATGGTACACTTTGTTTTTTGTCTATTTTGCATTCCATCGTTTCTAGGGATGTGCAATGTCAAACGGTTACTTATTTGATGTTGAATATCAACCAGTTATTTGTTCAAAATTGAATATCGAACGTCAAGCGAGGAATAAGTAACTAACTTAACACCTTAGCGTTTGCGTTGCTTACAACGAGCAAACCAAACCACTTAAATGATTTTGCGTTCAGAGTTTTGGCGTGTCAGCTTTGTTGACGCATCATTTTGAAATACAGACGCAGATTATTAAAAATTAATAGCCGTACAGAAGCTGTTACAGTACACGATTTCAAATTTTCCGTTAGCTTATGCAAAACATGGATGCACGCATTAGGCTTTAATTTGCGCAGCAAATTGGCGCTTTTGCTATAACCCTTTCAGCCCCAGAAGTGCTAGTTGGGCTCAAAGTGGCATGCGGGTTCTTTACCAATTCGTTACTAACGTTCTCCATTGGCACATAGACCAAAATGCCAGCAGCGGGAATGTAAATAGCGCCCTCACTCCTGTGACATTGTCTCGAGCGCTCTGATTGGACGAGAGCGCGTCCCTACAAAAACCACAAGAGGCGAAATGGCAGCGGTTAGGACAACATTGACGAAATTTTAGCAGATAGTGGCTCTGAAATACCCTGCGATGTAACTTCTTCCTCGTCCTCATCAGAAGAAAGTGATGACGAGCCACTGGCGACCAAATCGAAGCCACCGGGATTCCAACGGATGCCTTTGTCGAACTGCTGCTCTCGATGGGCATCAACAAAAGGCCTAGCTTATGCAATGTACTGGTCCGGGAGCGAAGTTCTTCGAAGTCTTTTGTATCCGTCGACAATGTCTGGCAACCGATTTATGGCACTCCTTCGATTTCTCCACCTTGCCGACAACGCAGGAGAAGACTCTCCCCGTGACAAACTGTCTAAAGTTCGTCCGCCATTGGACATTGCATTTTCGTTGTTTCGTAGCATCTATAAGCCCGGACGAAACCTGTCACTGGATGAGACTATGATAAAGTTTAACGATCGACTCGGTTTTAAACAGTACATACCACGCTAGTCGGCCAAATATGGCTTGAAATGTTTTTCCTTGAACGAGTCTCAAACCGGTTACACATGTGACTGGAAGGTGTTTACTGGATCCAAGGCTCCATCAGACTAAAGCATCCCCCACTCTGTTGCGTACGCTGAAGCCAACCATCCACCCAACCTTACAGCATCACGCCAAGTTGTCATCGACCTATTGAAAGAAGTGGAAAACAAGGGACATGTTGTTTTCATGGACAATTGGTACACAACCCCAGCTCTTGTGCACAAGTTGTCCCAGCTAGGCTTTTGAGCTCGTGGAACTGTGCGCATTCCAGACAGTGTAAACCCTAAGAAGGTCCCCATGAACAGTCATGATCCACCCCAATTCAAAGCGGGGAAACTATGTATTGTTTGGCCAGATGCCAAAAATGTGTGACAGTTCTGACCAATTATGGCGACTGCAAAAGTGACGCTAAAGGCATTCGTTGCAAAACAAGTTCCACCGGACGTCGTACAATCCAAAGACCTGCCGTCGTCAACGATTATAGTAATGTAGTGGACTCTTTGTTTTCTGTAGTTCAGAGTCAACGGCGCCACCGCCGACGGCCGAGTGGCTCGGGCGGCGCGCACCTGGCCAGTGGTTTTAGAATAACGGCCGGCGCGCGCTCCGGAAATAGGTAGCTATAAACAGATCGCTTCAATTGGCTTCTTTTGTTGGATACGCGGGACGGGCTTGGCTGGATTCAGGGCTTGGTCAAATGCTACAATGTTATACTTATCCAGAC